AAAAAGGGGGGGGGGGGGGGGTAGAACATGGTAAACAAACAAAGGTAAACAAAAATGTCTCAAATTGTTTTTAGTTACCTACTATAATTGATGATATTCGAAAATATAATATTGGTAAAGATATCAGATCATGAGCATAGATATGAGACAGCGATACGTCGTCCTTCTTCTCTACACGTGCCGGAAGCCTACGAACGACACGCACATATACGCGGAGGCGCACACTAATTGTCTCATATATGCCTAAAACCTGAAATCTTTACCATCGATTATAGCAAATAGCAAAAAATGATATGGAATTTTTGTATCTACCACAATATATTCTACGCCGTTATGGAGTTATTGTGCGGTTGTTTTGATACTCTGTATATCATTTACGATTATTTTTAGTAAACCAACCCTGAGGAAGCTAGTGGCAATCTTGAAAGTAATTATTAAAATGTAAAAGGAGAAATAGCTACAAATTTTGATGGGATTTCTCGATTAAATTGATAGTAGTAATGAAAAACTTATTCGTTCTAAGTTTTACTATTAAATACATGTTTATTTATTTGATATTTATTTATTTGATTATGTTTATGTATTACATACAATGTACAAGTATAATAAGAGCCGTTTTATTTCAAAATTATAAAATTGTTTTAGTTTTCAGATTATATTTCATGTATTACTTCTGATAGTTTCTATAGATACGCATATACATTAAGTTGATAGTGATAATGAAAATCTGTGATTCGTTCAAAGTTTTATTATCAGATACATGTTTATTTATTTGAGACATACAATATATGTTGAGTTCTATTTCCATAGATATGCATAGATATTTATAGATATGCATAAAGTCAGTGAAATTCACTTCAGCGCCTAACATGTTATATATTTGTATTATTAAATAAATCTAATGTATGTATTAAAGGAAAAAAATACGGTATTTTCTTTATATTGAACTGCCATTAATTTACATTTAATATTTTTTACCCTGTACCATTTGAGTGAATACTTTTTGCACTTTGCGGAAAATATATTTAAATATGATGATGGAATTGGCGTTTCAAAGAAATTATCCACTTCTTTTAAGCAAATATATAAACTTTAGTTTAAAAAATAGTCGCATTCTTCATGCCAATAATTTCATCCTGTTTTGTTAAAAACCATTTGTTTCTGTCTTTACTTGAAAGTATTAGTCCGTCCATTAATTCAACTTTGTAAAAAAAATGTTTATATTTACTTCGATCACAATTGTCTCCAGAATTCTCATTCTTTAGAATAGGATATCTTTTATTACTACTATTTTGAATTTGCTTTAAATTACTCATCTCAAAAATTCGTCTAACTGCCCTTATAGAAATATCATACTAAGAATCATTGATAATTACTTATTTTCAGTATTAAAAATACTGGATAATAAGTAATTATCAATGATTCTTAGTATGATATTTCTATAAGGATGCTTGGTTTGTTTCCCGTCCGGAGTATTTTTTTTATTTTCTATAAATAATTTTTAAATGGATAAGAATTTAAAGCGGATAAATCCTTTACTTCTTCAACTAAGTGGCAAATATTATGTACGTTAGTGCTAATTGAATCAATGCCGTTAATTTTTATGTAACGTTCTATAAAAGCATTTAATAACTTATCTGCTATATTATGTAAATATTTTGAGTATGACTTGCTATAACAAATTACTATACCACAAAAGAACAATATATAATGGTGGTATATTTCTTCAGATAAGTACTCTTTCAATATAACGGATGCTATGTACAAACTAAACGTTCCATATTCAGTTTCTTTCCAAAATTTTAAGCAATCAGTCCTCTAACGGCTTGATGAATTTCTCTTGGCATTCTACATTGAACGAAGAAATTATACACTGATTTGGTTATGTTTGCAGACAACTTACATTGTTAAATATTGGAGGGTCAAATTTAAACCAATTTCTTGAGGTAAATAATATTTAGTTATTTTTAACTATCATGTGTGTCAAAATTTACTATTTTAACACAAAACATGTGTTTAAAAAAACAACCACATCTAATCAACCCATTTTTGTGGTTAAATTGCTTAGTCAAAGTAAATAGCGCTATCCAATAAAATAAATGAGT